TGGGATCCGAACCCTCGGCGGGAGCGCCTCCGCACTTCCCAAGCAGCTCACTAGCGCAGTGCGCCACCGGGCTGGCCCCTAGCTATTCCAATCCATCAGGCAGTGTGAATGGGGGAAGACCAGACCCCAGTCCTTAACAACCACAATGGTCTCAGGAAGATGGGCTGGATAAGCCCAGGTTGGAGATCCCTAGGCACCTGGAAATGAGACTTAAATACTTCACACTCCACAGAACAACTCTTCAGGTCAGATCTTCCCCCTTTGTCCTTCAGAGAGAAGCAATATTAGTAGGAGGCACTTCTGAGATTGTCATTTCCTAGCCCTGGATATGTGGATAGAGGGCTAGGGAGCTCAGTTGGCCCCCACTTGGTTTTCTGTGTTTCTCACAAGCACAAGACTCCTTCACTGCCCTTACTGACCCCTGAGGATATCTGAACAAATGCAAGGGCAGGTGCGGGTGTCCAAGGTACTGGGGAGAATAAGAGCAAAACTCCTGTTTATTCCCCCATAGCCATGATGCACTGCCCTCTAGTCCAGGCCCAAATTACCACCTCCCACACAGACTGGGTTACAGTTGCCCCACCCCATCTCTCACCTATTTCTCTCTCTCCCCAACCATCACCACCAGCGTTTTTTGTTTTTTGGTTTTTTTTTCCATTTTCCGTCTGTGTTAGACTAGGGTTGATGTTGGGAAAGGAGCCAGAGATAGAAATCAAACCAATCTTGGTCTCAGAAATAAATTTCTGAAGTCACATTTTTCCATTTAAGCAAACAATTCTGACCTATTAGCCTCTCAGTCCCAGTTGTGAGTTCTGGGAGAAAGAATCTGATTGGCAGAGCTTCGGTTAATTGGCATAGCGTTTAAAAGGGTTTATATGACCTGAGCATCTGGGTCTTTTGGTTATGTGGGTAAGCCATGCTCTCTGTTCCCTTGAGCACCTCACAGTTCCCTTTTTCTTCTTTAACTTAAGACAATTTCTGTGACTAATGAACTCATTGCATGAAATGGTATTATAAAGGTGAGGCAAATACCTGATACCTAAAAAATGCAGCCAGTCCCAAAGTTTATTTCTTGCACTTTTGTGTGGAAGATATTTAGTCTTTATGAAAAACAGGCATCTGGGCAACAGTGACAATACAGAATATTTTAAAAATTAGAACTATTAACAGAATAATGTACTTTATTAAAATACAAATTAAAATTTAAATTAATAAAAATATTTTTTTAATTTTTAAGGTTTTTCAGTCTTTTTAATAATGAAAAAATTTCATTTTACAGGTAAAATGAAAGGCCTGGCATTTATTCAAGATCCTGATGGCTACTGGATTGAAATTTTGAATCCTAACCATATGGCAAATGTTATTTAGTTATATGAGAATGCTCCTTTGAAATTTCAGTGAAGACAGAGATAAAAAAAGAAACAATGTGATTCAAGATATTCAGATACCAGAAGCATCTAGGATTGATGGATCATTGTCCTAATTCAAATTATTCTTAAATCGATTTCCTTTTCCTATTTCAGCTGGTTAGATGGAAATAAAATTTTAAATAAGACTGTTTAATTAAAAAATTTTTGTCTGGCATGTTCTTTCTTTAAAAAGGCTGCCTTTAGGAATACTAAAAGGATTTGAGAAGATTTGCAGGTTCATTCTGAACCAGGAATAGTCGTAATTCTGTACAGCTTATAAAGCAGGTAGTTTCTGGATAAGTATGGGAAAGGTGGGAAAAAGAAAGTAAATTAGGAATAAAAGATTGTGGTAAGGTGCAAAGAGAAGAAAGGCAAAATATCAAAAAGTGAGTCAGGAATTTAAGATCAATTTCTCAGGTTGAGTACTAGAATTAGCAAATGGGAGGGCTATTCATAAATTCAGTCATTTAAGCTTTATTTCTAGTGAAAGGGGCCTTCTCTACTTACTAAGTAAGACTTGCCAAAAGATAGCCCATGCTTATTTCTTAAATTTATTCATTCCTATATGCATTGAAAAATCTATATAGTGTCACCAGGGCTTGCTAGGAATTAAAACAGTTCACTTCCAAATTAACTTACCTGAAAAGTGACGATAGAAAAGGGAAACTAGAGTACAAGAAATAAGTTTTCTTATTTTCCATGATTATAGTCAATGTAGAATAATTCAGTCTCTCATGAGCCTTTCACAGCTAAGACTGGGACTTAGTATAATAGAGGTGGTTTGAATTAAGAGCTTATGGCTGACAAGATGTCATTTGTAGCTTCCCAGCACAATATTTTGACCAAGATTGCATACAATGTGTCTTAGGTCAGGCTACTGTAACAAAAATACTGTACACTGGATGGCTTAAACATTTATTTCTCACAGTTCTGGAGGCTGGGAAGTCCAGGAGCAGAACAACAGCAGATCCAGTGTTTGGTGAGGGCCCCCTTCTTGGCTTGCAGACAGGCACCTTCTCCCTGTGTTGTCACACAGCCAAGAGATGTCTCTCTCGTGTCTCTTACAAGGGCACTAATCCCATTCAAGAAGGCTCCACCCTCATAACCTAATTACCTCCTGAAGGCCCCATCTCCAAATTCCATCACATTGGGGATTAGGCTTAAACATATGAATGTGAGAGGAATACAAACATTCAGTGAAGAGTTATATCAGTAAGGATATCTGCTGTTGGCAATAAGAAAAAACCCAACTATCTGATGTAGCAAGTACTTCAGAGATTCTAAAATGTGTTGATAGAAGGTTCAGAGATAACAAGAACCTCATATTCCCCATCCTGTCATTTTCAGCATTTTTCCTCTTTGGGCCAATACTACTTGTGATCAAGATGCTTACCACAATTCCAGGTGTTGTGTAGACCAACAATGTCCAGTGAAAGAAAAGAACCTTTTATTCCTCATGTGTCTCTAATAAGGAGTGAAAATCTTTCCCAAAACTCCTCAGCAGAATTCCCCTCATGTTCCGACCAGAACTGGGTCACTTGCTTGTCACTAATCACTGGCAAAGGAGATGGGACCACTCTGACTTAGATGGATCATATTTACCTGAGTTAGCTGCATGGGGGTGAACACTGGACCAAAACAGACTGCCAGAATGGAGGACACTGGATCAAAATTGAGACTGCCGGAATGGAGAAGCAAATAGGGGCTTCTGGGTAGGTGTAAACTGAAACTGCAACGGGTGAAATTAGATATTGAGAACCTAGTTGGTGCAGGCTGCTATATGAAATCATAAGGTATTTCCTGCCCTTAAAAAGCTCAGGTCTAACATTGTGGTTCTCAACCATATCAGACTGAGCAGACAATTTTTATTATAGCATTGTAACATTTATAATATACCCACTGTAAAGCTAGGGCTTACAGACCCCTTGGGTCTGTTGCCTAGATTGGGTTACAAACCCTCCACATGCAGGTCTGTGAGCTAGGTAATAGGAAAAAAAAAAAAAAAAGGTTTTGGGAGCCGTGGGTATAGAAAAATAAATGAGTTTTAATCAGATCTAGGAGCAACTGTACTAGTGGCTTCTCTGAGAGTTATAAGAAGCGCTGTGGATCAGAGCTGTTAGTCTTTTATACTTAAGTCCACAACCCTGGACACCTGGGTGCCCATATACAACTTACATTAAGCAGTAACAAGGAACGCCTGAGGACATTTACAGCAAATACTCCGCAAGACTGAACATCCGAGGGGCCCTGACATTTTCCTATTTTTCCCAACACCCACTGTCCTAAAATTAAATTCTTATATCACTTGCATGTATACCAGTTTCAGAAAGAGTAAGTCCAATGTCTTTATAATAACATGAAGGAGATTGAAATCAATTTGTAATAAAATATTGCGCATTTCAACATGTAAATACCCACATACTACTATACTAGAAGACAAGTAGTTAGATGCTTGCCCTTAAATATAGGAGAAAAACTCTTTAATATAGTATTGTTGGCACTATTTAATATTTTAAAGACTGAATTTGGTTCATGAAGAATTATAATTTTGCACCTTTAAATGCATATTGATAACAGGTGTGTTTTATTGGTGACTCAACCTGAATTATGTTACTGTAGGAAATGTTTACAAAATGGCGATCAATTCTTGCTAAGATTTTGAAAAGAGTAACATTCTTTTGGTTATAGATTAGTTTTGTCCCTAGTGAATACTAAAATTGTGTATGCAAGTAGTAAAATAGAAGTTCTAGGATCAGATCATAAAAAGCAGGCTTTAAATTTTTTAATTTCTGAATAGTTTTAGATTTATAGAAATGTTGCAAAGATAGTATAGGTTTCCCATATACCCCATATCTAATTTCCCCTATTTTTAAATCTCACATTAGTATCGTACATTTGTTACAACTAATGAACCTACAGTAATATTGTTAACTAAAGTCCATACTTTATATTTCCTTATTTTTTTGCCTACTTTTTCTGTTACAGGATCCCATCCAGGAAACTATTACATTTAATCAGCATGTCTCAGGCTCCTCTGGACTGTGCAGTTTTAAAGATTTCCTTGTTTTTGATGACTTTGAAAGTTTTGAGGAGTACTAATTAGATATTTTGTAGAATGTTTTTCAACTGGAATTTTCTGATTTTTTTGAGGGGATTGGTCACGATGAAACTAGGGTTCTGGGTTTTTAAGGAGGAGGACCACAGAGAAAAAGTGCCCTTCTCATCACATCATATCAAGGATACATACTATCAACATGACTGATGATGTTAACCTTAATCATCTCACTGAGATATTTTTTTTTTCCTTTTTGTCTTTTTTCGTGTCCGGCAACAGATTGCAACCCTCAGTGTCGCGCCCGTACTGGACCGGGACCGGCAACGGGATCGCAACCCTCGGTGTTGCGCCCGCATCTCGCTCAGCCAGTGAGCGGGAACCGGTCTGTATGTGGGATCCGAACCC